TGAGCAATGTTAGATCCAATTGCACAAAGCTGGATCATGCACCACAAAACCAGATTTGCTTAGCTAATCCTTTGATTGATTTTAAGACCTTGCTGAGACTAAAAGACTATTAGGAGATTTGCTCTGGTGGCATTCCCAGCACAGGAACGAACTCCCCTGCCATGCATCTGATGTTTCCTGGCCATGGCCTGAGACCCTTCCCAGCACAGATCAGTCCTTAGCTCCCCCATTTAAATTCTACCCAACTTCCCCTTGCTGAGGCTCTGTCTGGAAGAGGAACACTCATGCACAGAGGCCTCACAGGGTGCCCAGTCCCAGTGCAGCTCTCCAGGCACTGGCATCCCACAGAGACACCAGTCTGTGGAGGAATGCTGGCCCCTTGGCCTGCCACAGAGGGGGCAGAGGGTCTCTCATCACAGCCCTCAGGAACTTCAGCCCAATGTGCTTGGCTTTTCCCCTATAATTTTCCTCTGGATCTTTGAATCTCGCTGTCAGAAATTCCCTTCCCCGTCTCACAGAGCATTGGTGTTGCCTTGTGCTCAGTCTGGCAGGAGCCCTGCAACACTCCTCACTGTTCCCTGTTTCCCTGCTTCAACATCCCCAGCCCAGTTTGGATGGGGTACAATGTGCTGAGTGTGCAGACCTGAAACACTTGCTCTTGCCTTTGACTACTCATGTGCCTGCCTGTTTTTCCCAGCACCTGCCTCCTCATGTCCAGATTCAAACTCCAGATAATGTAGCCTGGCTAGCCTCCTGGGCAGGGCTGTGTATGCTGGGAGAAATGCTGGCCTTGAAAATTGGGCGTGAGTCTGTGGGATTCCTCAGATACTTTCTGCCACTGGGATTGTCTGGAAGATGCTGAAGTCAGACTCTCCTTTCCAGATACCTCAAGTTTACACCAGGAATCATGCCCAGCACCTGGCAGGCCACTGTCCTGGGCATGGCACACCAAGGTACAAGCAACCACGCCATAGAAGCTCTCCAAGGAGATGTTTTAAGTAGCTCTGACCACTGCTCTGCTCCAGACTTTGCCCAGGGCTTGGGGAGCCTGCTGAGCCCCAGCAGGAAGAGCCACCCAGCAGAGACCATCTTCAGCACAGGATGGTGATGGGCACAGATGCCACCAAGTAGAATCTGGGCATGTTTGGCTGTGGTGGACTAATCCTGAGGCATACAAAAAAAACCCCAGATGCCAGCCTGACGTTCCCCCCCTCACACAGCCCCCCGAATACTCAGGCTAGCTCAGAGATCAGAGGCTGTGAGGGGCGGAATATCAGGAGATGGCAAAGATTTCCAAAAGAGGCTCTTACCCCGATGTATGTTGGTTCAGCTCTCTTTATTCTGTGTTGTCCATGTGGAGAGTGGGGCAAAAGAGAACGAACAGGAAATGTCAGGGGTCTATATAGACTTTGGACAGGGTGGTCTTCCCTGGCTCTCTACCAACCCCGTTGGGGCAGAAAGGAGAGTCCAGGGCTATCTTGATCAGAGTCACAGGGTCCCGGGGAAGGGGAAACAGAGTGCCCATGAGCTCACTGTAACACCAGCCCTCTGCCTGGTGCTGGCACAGTGCTGCCCTGTGGCCCTGGCCCCAGCCTGGCACACGAGGCCAGGCCAGAAGTGGAGCAGGGAGATGCAGCCTCCCAGGTTTCCTCTCTGGGTTATGCTACAGCTGCAGACGTGGAAGTTTCAGGCTGCACCCAGTTTAAGTAGTCCTGAGCATCACCACCCAGTCAGCTCACCAGGCACAAACACAAAGCAAAAAACGATCCAGCAGAGCAGGCAGGTGGCATGTGGGACACGAAGCTTTCAGTCACTCGGTGCTGCTGCCAGACCCACGCAGTGCTGCAGCACCTCTCAGCCATGTGTGCCAGGTGATGCCCGTCCCAGTCCCAGGGCACACCTGGGCACGGTGCAAGAGACCCACCACAGACTGCAAGCTGAGCCAACTGAAAAGGAGGTTTTTAACAGCACCTTGAAAGAGGATGAAAAACTCAGGGGAGGGCTCGTAAAGTGCCAGAGGCAAATGAAAAGATCCCAAACCAAGACGTGATTCTACAGAACCAAACTCTTTTTCAGTCTCCAATGCAACTTTTTTTTCCTGCTTCAGGGCTGAGAAGTATCACAGATCTGGTAGCTTTTGTTGATGTGACTTAAAGAGCAGTGCACCTACTGAAAAGAAGAGCACAGAATGGGAATGAAGGTCTGGTGAGATTCCCAGAATCTCACCATGGAATGCTCCAGCACAAGCTTTGGAGGGTTTTTCAATGAGCACACAAAGCAACTTTGCTACTTGTGAGGATGCTCAGGGAAAGGGAGAAGCAAGAGATTGCAGACCATTTCATGCTGGTATCAGTTCCATTTTCCACAGCGGAGTAAACAGTGTGAAACACCTGTGTAGCAGGGGCTTACTGAAAGTACGTTGTGCCAAACAATTCCAAAATACTGTTTCACCTGAGACAACCACTTTGCAGTTGCTAAGATTAATCTTTATTGCAATAAAACAGTTGATATAAGGATGCATCATGAGCTTATAGCAGGGAACTCAGAGCAAGGCTCCCATGGGGCAGAGCAGCAGGGGCTGGTGAGCAGGTGGGAGCCCAGGTTCACCATCAGGGGCTGCCTGCCCTGGGGCTGGCATTGCCAAGCCACAAATGGGGTGCCAACTGAACCCACAGAAGGTCTGGTTCACAGACACATTCCTCTTGTGGGGCAGAGATGGACAGCAGGACTCTGTGAGCTTCTAACTTCAAAGGGTTGGTGGCCATGGCAGGCAGATCATACAAGCTGCCTTGTTCCTGCTTTCCAAAATAGTGTGAGAATTGTGAAGCTGCAAGACAGGAATGTGGGCAGAGACCTGACAGATCCCTGTAGCTCAGCTGAGCAAAGCCCTGTTAATAACCTGAAACCCCCGAGGGAGGGAGGGAGGGAAGGACAGCCAGTACTGGTTTTGCTTAACCAGGGTCTCCTGCCATGACAACATTATAATATCAAAGAATTTTGTGTTGAGAACTAGATACAGCAGCCAGTGCACCCCCAAAAGGACCAGTCCTTAAGATCTCAGTGAGTTTACTGCAGGAGGGTAGAATTTAACACATAGTCTGGAGAAACAAAGACTCAGAGGACGGGATCAGTCCCTAATTACCTCTCAGTTAATGTGAATATGCAGGAGGATGAGCAGAGGGAGGGGCAGGAGACACAAGCATGAGAAGCACTGATGTGGAGCTGGGGAAGGGAAAGTTTGGGCTAGATGCAAGGGGAAAAAAAAAAGGCCTTAAAAATTGCCTAATGTAAGACATTCCTACAGGCAGCAGGCTAAAAATGTAGTCATAGGAAATATTTCCATAAGTCAGATGCAGTTTGAGCAGGGAAGTTGCCATGAATGATTCAGTGCAGGCTCAGAGCTCTGGCAGGACCCAGCTCTCCATCCCAGCCCACCCTCCTCAGTCACTGCTGGGGAAATGAGAGGGCTCTGCTCATGTAACCAAGGCATCATTTTCAGCAAGAATTCTTTGGCCATTTAACATCCTAATATTTAAAAAAGAACAGAGATGTGTTATTTAGAAAGCACTCCAGAAGTCTAACTCTCTCTTTTCCCAGGAAAAATGTATTTGCAGCAAGCAGCAGGTGCTGCTGTGTTTTAATCTAAGTTAAGAGACTCCTGTTGGAGCTCCAGTGCTGATTACTCTCCATAAATCATGCTCAGTCTCACATCCCCTGCATCATATCAAGGTACCCTCCATGAACACATCCAGTTAGACATCCACTCCATTGATCATGTTCACTCAGATTTCCACTCAGCCCATCGCAGCCAGCCTGCAGCTGCATTATTCTTCAGTGTCCACAGATGTTTCCAGGTTTTATTTCCAATAACCTCCAACTGCAAACAGAAGGTGGTTCCTAGATATGATGGATTAATAATGTAGAAAAACAAATCCTGTGACCCAAACCCCAAGCAACAAAAGATGTGCTAAAATAAAACAATGTTAATATAGAACCTTTTGCGCAATTAGGAATAACCTCATTAATAATTTGAATATTTTCCAATGAATTGTGTAGCCTATCTCTCATGAGACTAACTTCAAACAGTTTGAGAATTAGAGCTTGGCTGCAATTGTTATGGATGGAGCCAGACAACATGAACAAGTAAACCAAATGGTAACATGAATTACAGTGAAAACATTATTCTACTCTGCTACTGAACTAATGGTTTTGGCTGAGAATGTACATTTACCAGACTGTCCCTTTGTATGGAATGAATCAAATCCAATTTCCTATCATCAAACTCATAGATGGCTGCAAAGAAAAATGTTTAATTGAGTTAACTTTAACACTGAATTTTTAAGTTTGCTGATGGTGGATTGCTTTACTGCCCAGGTTTCTCCCCTAGTCTGAGGTCTTAGTTCTGCATTTCAGGAATTAAACAAGAGACACATCTGGCAAACAGGGTATTTTGAAGGAGACTACACAGAAATAATTGAAGGAATTTGGCTGGAGTCTAAAATCTCTGAGACTGGAGCCTCCTTTTCCTGACCAGGATCCAGGAAGCAGTGCTTCCATATTTATTTAACAGTGAGAATATTTCAGTTTGTTCAAAAATATAGAAGTTCTAATAATCTCAAGGTTACCCTTATAGTTGTGGTAGGCTTTAATGAGAAGCACTGCCTCCCATGGGAGATGAACTAGTGGTTCCAGCCACAGCAGTCTGATAAAAACTCCCACTAACAACAAATATTTTATCTTTCCACCTGGCCTTGTACTTAGCTACTTCCTAAAAGAACTGTCTAAAGGCAGGAGGACCTGCTTTGGGCTCACAGCTCAACCTTTGAGTTTCGGGAGTGGGCCTGTCCACAGCTGAGGAGAGTCTTCTGGTTCCTTCCCACCAAAAAACTTGTTTATTGTAGCCTCAGATGAATCTTTCCTATAACTGTGGTTAACCTCTTCCTATAGTTAGGCTTCTTATGATTCACCTATGCTAAGTATTTTGCAATTAAACTCCCCCATAGAGCAAACCAAGCCTTTATTACAACTGCAGAAGTCTTCTTTTTCTGGCTGAACCGGGTCTTCTACTTTTGTTCCCATGACTTTTTCCTAACAAGTTTGCAAACTCCCATCACTGGATTGCTGCTGGGACCATGAGCTTTCACGAGAGGGTTTCAAAGCACAGACAGAAAAGGTGGTGGTGCTGCCAGTGGTGGGGTGTCCTTCAGTCTGCTTCATATAGGTTTCTATTCTTTGAAGTTAGTAATTTGTTCTTTGGTGAAAAACAATGATTTTATGAGATGGGTCAATCATACATTTTCCTCTAGCGAAATGAGCCCCCAAAAAAGATCAAGGTACTTTTCTGAGGATGCGGCTGAAATCACAAACAAGCAACTGGCAAAAAAAAGGACATCTATCACAGTGAAAAAAAGTCTGTGCCATGCCAAAAGCTCCAAAAATAAATGCAAGAAAACAAGGTCTAAAATTTTATATCACAGTGAAAGACACTGCTAAGTAAAAAATCAGTATTGACAATATCTAATTATTGGTGAAATCTATTAGGAAAACATTTTATGTTCTGAAAGACTACTCTCAGTTCAGTAACAATCCCTCAGGTTTTCTATATGAGGGCTTAAAAGCTTTTCAATAAATTCAGGGGAAGAAAAGAATGGTTTGCTTCCAAGTCTGAGCCAAAGTTTGCTGTGTAGTTAAAAAGAGTAAATGAACTTGTGGATGTCACTCCTCTGATTCCTTCTCACACAGTGTCTTCTTCACTTGAACGACAGAGCACAGAACCTGAACACGAAGGCTTCATGTTTTATTAATGGTGTCCAATTCATTTCCTGTTTTCATGCTGATAACCTACTGAGGGAGAGGAAGGGAACTCAGGTGGCAAGACCTCAGATCCATTTTTCTTACACCCATGAACAGTTCACAAGTGGGGATTTCACTAGAAAAATCTCTTTATTGCATGTATTTACTGCATTCTCTGGGAAGCTTCACTCGGACGGCTTCTCTGCTGCTGGCATACACCTCTGAAAGAATAAATGTTTCAAAGTTAAGTTCTCTTCAAGGTGAAAGCTTTTAGGTTTTAGTTCAGTCAGGGCCCAGTAGTTATTTTCACTACTGTCCTTTCTACAGGACTAACCTCATAATACACCAAAATTACTACCCTGGCAGAAATCTCCTCATCAAACAAAATTCACATTAGCAATACCATTCTCTGTTTCTAATAATGCCAATTAATCCCCCATTAAGACAAAGCTACATAGTGGTCAGCCCAGTAGATATTCACAGAGATTTTTAAATTAAAAGAATGTTACTAGCCCAGCAGAATGAAGACATCAGTGTTCAAGAAAGAATTCCCATTTTCCTGTTTCTCAAGCTGATAATACAACAAAGGCCTGGGTCTCATGAAACACTCCTGCATTTAATATAAAATAAATTCAGAGAAAAAAACCTGAAATTCCCCAGTGATTCTTGTACTGGCTGGAGATGCCCCAGTCTGTCTCACTGCTTCTCATTCCCTCAGAGCAGCAAATGTTTTAACAGCAATGACTTGCCTCCAAGCAGCTGCTTCCTATAACACCCCTTGGCCACTTTCCCAACAAGAAGAAATCCCTTTCTCTGCACAGCCTGTGAGCTGCCAGTGTGGTCATGCTCCATGGCCAGGGGTGGGGCTGCACCACGGAGCTCCTGGGGTTTCTTTTAGGACATTTTTCTTTGAAAGATAACCAGAACTGCAATGAGATTGGAACCTCCGTTGGGTTGGCAGGCAGACGTGTGCCTGGAGGTGCAAGTGCAAGTGTGTGGTCTTGGGTGTGGGGAAGAAAGGAGAAGGGTGGTGACCTGAATGTTGGAATGGAGTTCAGAGCAGACGTTTTTTGGCTTCCTTTTTGTGTTGTTTTACTTATTTTTTTCGTTGTTTTGCCTTTCCTTGCATTGGGAACACCAAGCATGCAAATGCAGGAGTTCCCTGGCCCAGCAGTGAGGGAACGAGAGCACATCAGTGGTGTGTCCCCTTCTGCTTTAGGAGCCTCCTGCCTGTGGACAGCCACATTTTTAGACCTCATGAAACCATGAGGGCTAGAAATAGCATTATTTTTTTCAATGAGAATGGGGATTCTCATATAAGTGAGGGCTGGTGGAGCTAGAATATACAGGACTATGCAAATGCTGCGATCATAGTTTTAAAAGATGAAAACTGGCAACCTGATTGTCCTGCTATAAACATTGAGCTTGCACCTAATAGACTCAAACCTGTATGTCCCACTTGAGACTCAGTGCTCAATTTTTATGTGTCTCAATTAAACAGACCTGGGCTTCCAGGGATGAAGAGAGAGAGAGGACTAGAGGACTCTTAAACAACAGACAAATTTTTTATTACATGTTGCCAATCTCCAGTGACAGAGATTCCATATGTTTTCATATTTTCTATTTAGTCATCCTTCCTACTCCTTTCCAGATGCACAGCAGCTGGAAAAAGTCTCCCAGATTTCACTGAAACACTGGCTACTGTTCAGTGGAGTGTGGGAATTACTTTTTGCCTTCAAATGACCCTCATGCTTGGGCACCTGAGTACAGAATTTGATTTTTTTTTTCAAAATGGAAATGAAAGCTTAGATTGGATTTACAAGCAATGAAACTGAAGTGTTAGGCAGTGCAAAGCATTAGAGAAGCTGCTATTACTGAAGGTCTGACTGGGCACAAAGACAAGAAGCCACATTCCCATCCCTAGCACTAAGATATCTTGTAAATAAAACTTTGTGAGTGGTTGGCTCACCCAAGCGAGCTGGCACTGCTGACAGTTTTGTTCTCTTTTTGAAGTTTTACCTAATGATCATTTCTCCACAGAGGTGTATGGCTCTGGATTTAAATATCCTGCAGACCTGTAGCTATTGACTCCCCATACACACTACCTGTGTGTTTGCTTATGCTGTGCTTTAACTTCAGAAAACAATGATGTCCTTTGTGGAGGCAGGACACAGAATAATAAAAATAATAATAATAATAATTGCTGTGAGAGGTTTTCTGATGGGAGGGGGGGAGAATTAATCAGTTTGAAATCACTGCCCTTTCTTTACAGTCATTGAATACTGATTATTCTCATGTTGGGCTGTAAGAGGATGGATATTTACCACTGAAAAGAGAAGAGCCACCAACTCTCAAGGCATCACCAGGCTCTGCAGACAGGTATTGTCATAGGATGGCATGTTATGTAACAACTCCTTAAATGCAAGTTATTCTACATTCTTGGCAGCAGACCACATAAAATTTCCCTTCAGATGTTGATGGGCTTAAAAAAAAAATTAAAAGAAAAAATATATATGAAAATCACCTTATCATTTACAATGCAAATCTTGGAATGAAAGTTAGTAAATTAAACTAGAGATTCACCTAAATTAAGCTGGCATTCTATTCTGGTGCTTCAAACTCTGAAAACATTGCTGGCTGACAAAACAAGCCCTGGAATGATTAGCAAAAACCCTCCTTCAGAGGCAGCAGACGAGCAATCCCTTTGAACCTTCACAGCACATCATAAACGCTCAGCAGAGTTACAGTGTGGCAGTCCCAGTGCTATCAATTATTTACCCTTTTTCTGTTTACCTTCAGGCAGCAAGTAATTATTTTTAAATATTAATTTAGTTGTGTCATGTACAGTTTGTGGTTTAGCCCTGAGATCTGAGATACAGAAAAGCAAACTGCATCTCAAATCACATTTAGCTGGTGACGCATTGATAGCTGGATCCCCACTTCAGCTACACTCAACTTCTCTCATCATTAGAAACTCCCTTCATTGCAGGAAAGTGAAAGCAATTTTCTTAATAGGAAAAGACACCCTTTTTTTTTTTAGCCTAAAAGTCTCAGAAATTGAAAAATCTATTTTATTTTGAAAAGTTTGTTTTATTCTAAAAAGTTTGGATTTTTTTTCAGGTGAAGAATTTTTTCTCTCCTCCTTCTTGTTTCCCTCAGAATTTTCCCCAGAGTGTTGGTTTTTCTTTATCCTCAGCTAATTTAGGCTACAAAGAAGTTGGCTGTTGTTTCTGCAGCCCAAAGAGAAAAAGGTCTTGGAGACAAGGCTCACCTTCCTGCACTGAAATCACCACTTTTTGGAACCTGAAAAGAGAGGATGCTTCTTGTCAGCTCATATGAATGCCTCTCCACAGGGGAGTGGTTGTTTCTTTTTAAAAGTTAATACTAGAAAAAACAAATGCTCATTTAGATGTTTCTGCATGGAGGCACAGACGAGATCAATGCAGTATCGAGTTCAGAGCAAACTGCTGCTTCCACTGATGACAGCAGGGTTGGGATCTTCCTGAGGAAAAACATGTTGGAATTTTGCTGTAATTTGGTTTGCCCTGTTGCACTTTCAGTTTTTCTTTTAGCAGAAGTTCTTGCGAAAAGCCTCGATTTTAGCTGTTGGGGAGACAGAATCAAGGAGAACTGGAACTCTGACAATCAAGCTTGTGCAATGTCACAGGTATTGCTGTGGCACTTGTCAGCCTCAGCCACCCTCTTCCCATCTTGCTGGGTTCTACATGGTTCTAGCAACACCAGAAGCAGCTTCTGACAAAGAGCACGCAGTCACAGTTTGAACTGAGATGCTGCACTGAGAAACAAAAATGAGAAAAAACCAAAAGAAGATTCAGGAACAAGCTGAGGTGTAACACCATTCCAGTGAAGGAATGTTTGTAAAATCACCTAATGAATATCATTGTTTCATGAAGGGAAAAGCCACTTCTGTTGAAACTGAAGTGTCACAAAAGTAGTCTTCAAACGTGCAGCAAAATGCTGAAAACAGAAATTTAGTTAACTTTTAAGGCAAATATGCTTGATACTATTAGAAGATCAGTTGTAGAATTCACTTCAGCCACATATGGTAAACAGTGTGGGCTTGTCACAACCTGTACTTTATTTTGCCTGTCTGTAGATGCCTCCACAACAACATGACACAAACTGGAGGAACAGAGTGAGGCTCCTGATCATTATTTAAATTAATGAACTTCCATAACTTCTGTCTGATCCATGGGCACTGTGTCAGTGTTTGCAAACATCTCTGAGCCAGGGAAATAGCTTTAAAATTTTTTTTTTGGCTTGTCTCCCATTTAGCTCAGAAACTGCAGTGACCAAATACTGCCTGGGCAGATGCCAAGTTTCTCTTAGTCTTGGTGAAGACATTTAGATCCCATCATTTAACTAAATCACTTGTCCAAGGTGAATGAGGATAATGCCTGAAAAACCAATTTGTGTGTTAACGGTAACGATGGTGAGTCTGCTCTTCTCACCACATGCACCCTATTCCTGAAGTAGGCAGAAACCCACAGATCCCAAAAGGGAATCAGATCTTCCGAAAGTTTGAGCTGAAGCTGAAGTACCACAGACCAGGTCTGGAAACAGCAAGGAGTATGAAATCCCAGTCCTGTGTCATTCCTGAGTGCCCCATACTGTTGCCCTGATTTTTAAAAGTGTTAAGTTTTCTTTTGTAGTTCTTTTAAAAGTTTAAAATTTTCCTAAAACTTCTTTAGCCTTCTGATAATGTTTACATATTTGAGAATCAGAGTTCCCACACAATTTCATGTGTAAATAGAATAGTTTACATATTTCTCTGTGGGTGGAGAGAAATTATTGATTGATCCTTGGAGCAGTGTGGTTGGAGAGGTGGTAATTCCATCCTCCAATCCACAGTCACCTTTGGAATTCTATAAATATCAGATGTTTGAATAAAAGTGGCACTTTTTCTCTTTTAAACTTACCAAGCTTCTGTGAACTCATTTCGTGTCCAATAACAACACCATACCTTACTGCATGGCCTGCAGTGGAAGTGCAGCAATCAGACACCCTGGTTTTACCAATTCAACTTCTGTAGGAGCTTGACAAGACCCAAACATCCAAAATCAGACTTCAGCCTAGCTCTCTTCTGCTCACAGAGGCGAATCTCACAATTTATTGGTGTGATGTCATTGTGAAGCAAATGGGAATGCCTGTGATGCTTTATAAATTTTATGTGGTCACCTGCTATTTTTTGACACAACTTTTTACAGGTAATTCAAGAATATGGAGGTAGAAAAACTTTCGTGCCTGAGATCCCCTCAATTTCTTCATCTTTTAAGAGTTATTCACACAGGTAAACCTGTTCTGCTGTGTGTGAATTTGGCTGGTAGCTGAGCAGAGGAGGGCTGAGGAGGAGGAAGTCAGAAGGAGGAAGGCTGGGAAGGAAGAGGTGGAGGAGGAGGGAAGGGCTGAGGAGGAGGAAGATCGAGGAGCAGAAGGGTTGAGGATGAGGAAGATTGAGGAGAGAAAGGGATGAAGAGGAGGAAGGCTGAGGAGAAGAAAGGCTGAGGAAGAGGAGGAGGAGGAGGAGAGGGGCTGAGGAGGAGGAGGAAGGCTGAGGAGAAGAAAGGCTGAGGAGGAGGAGGAGGAGGAGGAGGGGGGCTGAGGAGGAGGAGGAAGGCTGAAGAGGAGAAAGGTTGAGGAGGAGGGCTGAGGGAAGGGCTGAGTAGGAGGAAGGCCGAGGAGGAGGAGAAGGAGGAGGAGGGCTGAGGAAGAGGAGGAGGAGGAGGAAGGCTGAGAAGGAGGAGGAGAAGGAGGAGGGCCGAGAAGCGGCGCGGCCGGGCCTGCGGGCGCTGTCCGCGGTGCTGAAGGCTGCCGCAGCCGGGCAGCGCTGCCCATCCCATCCCATCCCATCCCATCCCATCCCATCCCATCCCATCCCATCCCATCCCATCCCATCCCATCCCATCCCATCCCATCCCATCCCATCCCATCCCATCCCATCCCATCCCATCCCATCCCATCCCATCCCATCCCATCCCATCCCATCCCATCCCATCCCATCCCATCCCATCCCATCCCATCCCATCCCATCCCATCCCATCCCATCCCTGCCAGAGCCGCTCAGAGCCCTCGAATTCTCTCGGGGAAGCGAGCCCTGCAGCGAATTTGGGAACAGCGAGTGTGGGCTGCCTGCTTTTCTGCTCCAGCTGAATTCTGATTCCCACCGACGATTTTGAGGGGCGATCGGGGCAGCAAGAAAACAGTGACATGCAGAAATGGCTGATAAAATTGCAGTGAAACGTCTGTTGACATTGATTTTGAGCCTGCGGGCAGAGATGAATGATTGAAACACGAGGCTTGTTAAAGCTAGAATGCTTTTGATTTCTCTTCTCTGTGCTGAACGAGATTTAGCTGGAGGGAAGTTAACAATCAGCTAATTGACATTGAATTAAGCATGAAATGCAGTATAACTACTTTTCTTCTGAAATACTCTTCAACAATGTTTTAACAAGGCTTTTAATTATTGATTATTGCTTATAACACAGAGTAGATATTTTATTTGGTTTTAAGTCTCATGTCCTTCAAGGGTATAATCTTGAGCACTCTGTAGTTCACCTCTCTGCTGATGGAAACCAAACAAATAGTCAAAGAAAAACTGTAACTTCTTTCTGGCAAAGCATCATAACACATCAGTTATCTGGGTCAGGTTAAGGAACAGACATTCCACAAGAATTTTAGGAAGTCCACTGTATCCTTCAGCAAAGCCAGGGAAATTGAGAGGGAACTCTGGTGCATTTACAGAGAATCCCCTGAACTGATCCTGCCTTTGGGACATGTTGTGTTCAGCCTTGGCAGGCAGCTCAGCACCATGCCACAGCTTACTCACTTTGCCACTCTGAGATGGGGAAACAACCAGAAAAGTAAAAATGTGAAAACTCATGTGTTGAGATAACAACAGCTTAAGAGGTACAGCAAAAACTGCCTGAGCAAGCAAAACAAAAGCAGGAATTCATTCCCCTCTTCCCAAGGGCAGGCAGGTATTTGCAATTCCCAGGACAGCAGGGCTCTGGCACACCTCACACTGACTTGGGAACACAAACACCATTTCTCTGAATTTCTTCCTTCTTCCCCACAGCTTTTATTGCACAGCATGATGTCATATGTTGTGGAATATCTCTTTGGTCAGTTGGGGTCAGCTGTATCCCCTCTCAGCTTCTCCTTTGCCTCCAGACTCCCTAAGGGAGGAGCAATCTGAGAGGCAGAAAAGGCCTTGATGCTGTGTAAGCAGTATTTGGCAATAACTAAAACATCAGTGGGTTATCAGCACTCTTTTCACGTCACCTGCAAAAGGCAGCACCATATCAGCTAATATGAAGAAAGCTAACTCCTGTCCCACCTAAACTGGCACAGAACAGTAACAACACTTGAAGAATTGTCACATGCATGAACAAAATGAAAAAAGAAATGCTCATTTGCTGCATCTGAGAACTAGGAATGGCACTGACAGCAGTGGGCAGAATCATTGCCAGTGCAGCTGCATATGCTGCTTGTCAGGTTACTGCTCAGCACACACTGGGGTGGAGAGGCAGCAACATCTGTGCTGCTGCTTGCTGAAGAGAGAGTGAGAGCCTGAGGTTCCTCAGAGAATTGTACTGCATGCATCAGTACAATGATCAGGATAAAAACAAATACAAGAAAAGACAGATATTTGTGTGTTTGTAAGAGATTACTATTGTGGCAGTGGACATAACTCCTTAAGGTAACTGGTGTCTCACATGTGAGATACTCTCATTTCCTCACAGAAGCTTGGAGAAACCAGTGTCTTCAAAGAGACCTCTGCCCTGTCAGCAACTTTAAGATAGTGATCCTTCTATCTCTTATCTTCTTGGTTTTGTTTATCCAAAAATCCTCCCTTGACACTGAGATATCATCACAATCAAACGTTCATCACTGTAGGAGCACACTCACCACCGCTATCACCACCAAAACTTTTTGTAGAATGGAAGTCCCAAGAGCTTTCACGCTGACAGCAAGGCAGGTGCTGCTTGGCTGTGAGGAAAAGGCTGCAGCCAGCAGGGCTGAGCCAGATGGGGCCTTGTGGGAGCAATCTGTCACTGAGCACAGAAAGGTGAGTGTGCACACAACAGCAGCCAAAAGTGCTTCTGGGAATTTCTCTCCCAGCTCGCTATAAATGGGACAAAGAAAATCTTTCCAGTGGCTCTCAATGCATCTAGCAGACTGCACTGCCCACAGACTTTAACTCTCTGAGGGGAAATCTGTGACACTGTGCTCCCTTTCTGTTCTCCAGTGCTGCACTGCTTTCCTACTCTGCTCATCAAGAGCCAGGAAATAAGTTTAAGGCTTGGTTTCTTGTTTTTTTTTCCTAAATCAAACCTAAGTTGTAGAGCTCAATTTATCAAGCAAAAAAACACTGCCTAGAGGGAGTGGAGTTCTGAAAAAGGGAGAGAAACAGTATTACTTCAAGCTCCAAGTTCACACAAAGCATTCCCATTCAGCAGGTGCAGACATCAGAATAAATAGCCTTCTGGCAATCTTCCAGATGGCCTAAAACTCCAGGCATATTTAGCTTGATTACCTTAGATTTTTTTCGGGCTTGCTGTCTCTGCAGTTACTTGTTCTACATCCCTTGCCAGCTAAAGAGAGCCAGCTGTGTCTGGCCTAGTGTGTGAACATCTGGTTCTGACTGTCATATCCAGCTGTGAGTCTTCTGCAACACAATTCCATTACCTACTAGTATAGACAAGTGCAAAATAATGAACATTGGAAGAAACAATTTTTAACTACTCATTCACAGAAAAGGGGGTCTAAATAAGTTGTGGCTTCTGAAAGCTATGTCCAAGTATAAATGACCAAAACAGGGAGAATATTGGGCAGGTACTCTAAGGTGCAGCAGCCAGACACAGTTATGTACTGAAAGGATGGGGTGACTGTTATTTCCTTGTCAAATGACTCTTTTATTCTTTAATCTGCTCCAGCCTATTTTGCTGGATGTCATGCAGGTGTATATCGCAGTTTACAGTAATTGCTATTAGTAGTCACCAGTGACATGCTGCCTTTTTGAATTCTGATACCAGTTTCAGGCACTTTAATACAAAAGCAAGCCTCGAGGAAGCTTGTGAATGACAAGGAGAGGTGGAGATATGAGTTCATATCCCACAGGCAAGCCTAGGAGACTCAGGCAGGCTGGGCAGGTGAGAAGTGCTTCAATTGCCTGTGCTAAGTGGCTGCTGCTGCTGCACCATACCAGAGAGCCATGGGCCCCATGCAGGAGGAGAAGGAGGGAGAAGGGAATTTCACACGTGGTATTACATGTGCCTACTGGAATCATTGGTCTGTGCCACATTGTTCTCAGCTGTTCCTCAGTGAGGACAGGTGTGAATTTAGAAGGAGGAAGAAGAAGGGAGAAACCAACAATATTAATCTTTTCCTGCATGCCTTTGGCTCTTTTGAAGGGGTGGATAATTTTCTAATCCACTGAGCTCATGGGTGTAATTCATAGCACACAGAGTCCACACTGCCACAGGAGAGTCTAGAAAACATTCCCATGACAATATAAATGGAAGAAATGAATGTTTACCAAAGCACCCTGTAAGGGAGATAGAATAGGAATCCTGTGCCTCACATATCAATACAATTGATAAGCACACAGTAGGATAAAACCTCAACCTGTGCATCTCCATTGAAATAATTTAATTTTATGCCACACTCTCATTTTAGCTACTGATCCTGGTACAACTACCACATCTGTCTCTACCCAGGTATTCCTATGGTATTGGTATAACATGTTCCATATTCTCTGGAATCCAATCACTGTGAGAGATGCTCCATTATCTCCTCCTTTCTCCCTTCAGTTGAGCACACACTGTCCTGTACACTCTGGTGATGTCTGGCCTCAGTGTGCCTGCACCAGCAGAATGCTCAGACAGAGCTGGAGGCAGTGCTGCTCTTACCTGCCCTTCCAGCTGTAGCACTGTTTCTGTCCTGGGGGGAAATTACAGGTTCTTCTCAAAGAGGATTAGTTCTAATTCCCCATACATTTCTTAGCTACTCATGCAGGCTGCTGGTCTCATGGGGAAAGTGTTCCTAACACACCACTCCTCTCTGTTCCGTTTGGCTGATGGAACTATGGGTTCCACAAATTCCTCCATCCCCCATTCTCCTACTCTGGATGCATTTACTTGTCAAGGCCAGGGAATGTAATTAGAGGGAACAGGTCCCAGGATGCCTCTCCTACTTCTGGCAGCTGACAGAAGGTGTGAGCTCAGCACAGCTGAATTCCACAGCTCAGTCACACCCTTTGGAAACTCTGCAGTGCATCCATTGTATCAATAGGTCCCAGTGCCAGCCATGGTGACCACCTACAATTCTAGGTCATGGAGCTGAAAATGACAGCAGTTCTATTTTATTATCCTTGAAGAAGAGTCTCCCTCTCTTGCAATCACT